GCCCGGGGCCCTGCCGCCGCCGCCGCGCGCGGGTGAGTAGTGCGGGTAGGGCGCGCATTCCTGAGGGGCGCGGGCCAGTGCGTCCGCCCATTGTAGGCCGCGTAGGCCGGGCCGGGCGCGGGACCCGGAAGAGGGGCTAGGCGGGTGCGGGTTGGGAGCGTGTGAAGGGAGGCTGTGCGGGCTCTGAGGGCGGTGAGGAGAGGCTGTGCGGATTCAGAGGACGTGTGAGGGGAGGCTGTGCGGGCCGGGAATGTGTGAGGGGAGGCGTGCGGGAGTGCTCAGGCTGTGCATGGAGGGTGTGCAGACTGCGGTGATGTGCGAGGAAGGTGTGTGGGGACCGAGGCTGTAGGAGCAGGTGTGTCACAGAATGGGTGCTAGCAGGGGATATAGAAGGCAAGGGCCATTGATATTGGGGTGAAGAGTGCCGGGTTTGTTTCAGAAAGGGCAGACCCTTGCGCTAGGTGAGTGGAAGGGTGTAAGGAAGACCTAGGATTCTGAGAAGGGGTGGGGTGGGGGTCCTCCTAGAGGAGGCTGGGGGCTGCAGCCCGTGTGTGGGATTGGATGGTGTTGGGTGCATGCTGTGGTCTGTGGGCCTTGGGCATGTTTCAGGGTGTGGGTGGGGTGCAGAATAGCTGCTGGGGCCAGACATTGTGTGCAGAGATTCTGGAAAGAGGTTGGACAGTGGCACGTCCTTTTCTGCTACCCCCAGCCATAAGTAGGACTGAGTGAGTCTGAAACTCAAGGGAGGCACTTCCTCTGTGTCAGAGGTGCCTTAGACTGGGTCCAGTCTTATCTGAGTGGCTGTACTCTTCCAGATTGATGCTTTGTCCCCCAAACTATCGCTTGGGGGTGGGTCTTAAATTCTACCTGCACACCACACTTGGGAGTTCAGTCCCCCATGAAACCAGAGCTGTACAGCCAGGACAGTGAAACTTTTAGCACAGAGGACAGTGGAGAAAAATAAATCAGTTCTCTGGGGGATGTTTCGCAGCTCATCTCTCAGATAATTTATGAAAAGTTCTTATTGTGCATCTCGGCCCCTCTTTTTTGCTCACACTGATGTTCTCTGCTTCTTCAAGGAAAATCTCAGGCATACTTGGATCCACAGGCCCTGTTTTGGAGAACACACAGTCCAAACTTGACAAGATAGCAATATCAGGGTTTCACTTTTAAGAACTTCTATTCAGGAACAAAGATGGGAAAGCATATAAAGTACAGTGTTTTCTGTTTGCTTTTCAGCTAGTGTTGGTGTTTCTTGGATTTATAGTTTTCAGAAAAGCTAAGTGGACTTTTTGGGGTTACATTGGTCACTAAGCATTTAAGTCATGGGGGAATGGTTTACATGTAAAACTGTAACCCTTAACCCTTCAAGAGTTTCATTAATGGACAGCCGGGAAAATCTCAGAGTCAGGCTGTATTACTTCCACGCTCCACATAAATCAAAAGTTCAAAAGTTGTATTTGAGTCTAATAAACATACACATCTATAGCATTGAGCTGGCTGCCGTGGTACCCAGGGGTTATATCTTGGCAGTGACTAAAGGAGATTTTAAATGTGGTATCAGTTGTAGATTCCTTTTATGGAATCCTTTTATTGATGGTGATTACACGCTGTTGGCCAGACCTGAATTAATGTAACTGCTTTCTGTGTGGTATGTATGTGTGTGTACACTAGATGTTTGATGTATAATACTTCTCTGTGGGAACCCGGAGGTTGTGGGAATTGGAGCACATTTCAATAACGTCAGTGATCTGGGGAGATGGTCGTGTGCTTCCAGGGACACCAAAGGTCTTCTGTCAGTTGACAGCCAAAACCAGATATGAATTATAAGAAATGTTTCTTCTGAGCAATGAGAAATAGTTTAAAATGATTAGGGAGAGTTGTTCACACATGAATTAAAATGTAAGTCTTTGAAGACAGCCAGTTTGGTAATAAAGGGCTAGGTCTTGAATTTACTGCTGTTTCCAGTGCACAGTAGTTCAGCATCTGTGAAGAGGTAAAAAGTTTGGCATCTGTAGGAAGTGTCATTTTCCTTTATGTCAATGAGTTAAATATTTATTCGTGCCCGTTAGTTGCCAGACCTTGTGCTAGGTGTTATGGGTCCTGCAGAAAATGTTTAAATCAGGCTGCCACAAATAATGTACATAAAAGTCATAAGCACCTTAAGAGAAAGTGACATTGATTCATAATTAGACTCCCGTTCGACCACAGTGACTTAGCTCTTTCTCAAGGCCAGTGAACTACAGAATATCTCTAAGGGTCAGGCTCAGGTGGCCCCAGGCACGGGGGCCCCCTTTCCTGAGATGGTGTCCCGGCCAAGAGGACATTAGACATTCACAAGCTGGTGTGGAGCTAAGACATCACAGGCACTCATTCCATGTTGATGGTGCTCAAAGAAAGTGAGTTTGCAGTTGAAGTGGTCCATGAGCAGCAGGGTGCCATAGCCCACCGGCCTTGACCTTAAGAAACAGGCTGTTCCTGCTGAGGCTGAGATTACAGCCTACCCAGTAGTTTTCATAAGAAGTCATTAGCTGCAGAAATGTCATTTGGTGCACATAATTGTGACCCAGCCTCTATCTTTGGATGTTTCTCCCTTCTAGCCATCAGCAGCTGCTGGTAGGTAAAGTTGTATGTGGTGTGAGAATGCAGATGTGGGGGGAGGGGTTGGATTACATGTAGGCCAGGGCCCAGAGTGTGGAGTGGCGGCCAGGGAGCGCTCCCCTTTGTGTTGGTACCAGATTTTAGGGTTTTATTTTGCTTCCTCTGGCTTGCTCAGTGCTCCAGGCACTTTGGACCTGACATGCTTCTCTTCAGCCCACTTCTAGGCAGACCACTTCCATCATAGCAGGCCGTGCAGCGATCACCCCCTTGGTCAGGTTGGGAGGCATCGCCCGAGCTTGTGGGCTCTGTGCGCCCTGTTAGAAGTGGCAGGGAGGACCGAAGACCATGGCAGAGTCCTGATCCAGGACAGTCCTCCCTCACACCCAAGGCAGGCTGGTAGCAGCCACAACAAAACCGATGGTTCCATGACCTCTAAAAGGGTGGGTGACTTGGTTTTCAGCTTACGTAGTTAAATCATGTGAGCTGTGTGCTTCCTTAGCTAAAAGGTATAATTGTGTTGGATTTCATTTTTTTCCACACCTTCTCTGTTCCTCAGAGTACTCAATTGCCATTTGCCGTCAGGAGGACACTTTCCTTCCAAGCGAGGTTTTAAAGGTCAAGTGCAGCTTTCCGATTGGTGATGTGAGAAGGCTCCCTTGCGCGTGCACGTGGGTGGTGTCTTTTGATCACTTGCTTGAAGATGCTGAAAGTGACCCACAATTAACTGCTCTTTTAGGTGTGTGTTGAGAGTTAGAACAACTCACTGTGTGTTTGCACATGCAAGGCAGGCATACCCAGTGTGAAGTCGGGGGGTAGGCAGAAAGCACGGTGGCCGTGGCCCTGCAGAATGTGGGGAGCAGATGCGACCATCCGTCTAATAGTGCGTGATGTGCTGTCCTTTCCGTATCTGAGTATCACAGTGAACCTGTGGAGCAGGTGGACTGGTCATCCTCATCTCACATGTGAGGGATCGGCTCTCACCCAAGTTGGAACAACTAGGAAGACTGGAAGCACCTTTCTTTCTCCCAGTCCTCCTGCCTCCCTGGAGCATGCAGAGAAGGGCTGGGCACTCAGCTCTGTAGCTGAGATGGGAGGTCCCAAGGCTGCTGGTCTGTGCGGAATGACACTGGAGGGGAGCGGTGCTCTCTGTGCTCTGGGCATTCATTTCTTAGCACCGGAGTTGTACAAGTTTCAAAAATTGTTTTAATATAGCACAACCTTGTGATGAAAGATTGCAAATCTAAACTGAATTTCTGGCGTTGAGTTCGAGTGGGAGGGCATCATTGCGAGTCTTGTCTTTAGAAAAACCTCTGTGGTCATGTTGCCATGGACCCACCTTTCCTAATCCTTGTCCTCTTAATGGTTTCAACAGGACAGATTGATTCCCTTTGGAGCTATAAGTACTGATGTATTAGGGTGCAGCGCTCATTGTTCATTGACGCAGTCTCAAAATGAATATTCAAGAGCAGGGTTTCCCCTTGGACCTCGGAACAAGTTTCACCGAAGATGCCCCCAGACCCCCAGTGCCTGGTGAGGAGGGTGAACTGGTGTCCACAGACCCCAGGCCCGTCAGCCACAGCTTCTGCTCCGGGAAAGGTGTTGGGATTAAAGGTGAGACTTCAACAGCCACTCCAAGGCGCTCAGATCTGGACCTGGGGTACGAGCCTGAGGGCAGCGCTTCACCCACCCCACCGTACTTGAAGTGGGCGGAGTCATTGCACTCCTTACTAGACGATCAAGATGGGATAAACCTGTTTAGGACTTTCCTGAAGCAGGAGGACTGTGCTGACCTGCTGGACTTTTGGTTTGCCTGCAGTGGCTTCAGGAAACTGGAGCCCTGTGACTCCAACGAGGAGAAGAGGCTGAAGCTGGCCAAGGCTATTTACCGGAAGTACATCCTCGATAACAATGGTATCGTGTCCAGGCAAACCAAGCCGGCCACCAAGAGCTTCATCAAGGACTGCATCATGAAGCAGCTGATTGATCCCGCCATGTTTGACCAGGCCCAGACGGAAATCCAGTCCACCATGGAGGAGAACACCTACCCCTCATTCCTCAAGTCCGATATTTATTTGGAATACACGAGGACAGGCTCGGAGAGCCCGAAGCTCTGTAGTGACCAGAGCTCTGGGTCGGGGACAGGGAAGGGCATACCTGGATATCTGCCCACTCTGAACGAAGATGAGGAATGGAAATGTGACCAAGACGTAGACGAAGATGACGGCAGAGACCCTGCTCCCCCTGGCAGGCTCACGCAGAAGCTGCTCCTGGAGACGGCCGCCCCCCGGGCCTCCTCAAGTAGACGGTACAGCGAAGGCAGAGAATTCAGGTGAGTCGGCCACGAGGTGTCGTTCTCTGCTCACCTCTGAGAGCTGGAGAACTAGCAAGGAAAGGCGTGGGTGAGGCGTGGTCTTGCCTCTCAGCCTCAAGTGGGGCTACCCTGCTGTCGTGGGTGAGCTGGGGGGTTAGTTCTCATGATACCTTCACACTTGTCATTAGATGTTTTTAATATTTGTGTGTTGAGGATACTTTAACCAAGAACAGACTGAAATATATGGCTTTGTAAGTCATCAGGTACATTAGACTTCTTAGAAGTCATGACATTGACACTTGACTCTTTAGCATTGAGGTTTGGATCCTCTTTTATAGAAGGTGGATTTACCTGGCAGACCTAATCCTTTTAGCTTAGTAAAGGGAGGTATGGACATTTAAATGCATCAATACTTAGAGAATTCTGGATCATTGTTTTTTATAATGATCTTCTGAGATTCTTCCTAGAGGTTGAAGTGATGGTGAGGAGGCTGCCATGCAGCAGGTTGTCTGAGCACTTGGGGAATTTCTGTGGCTGTGGTTGCATTTCTAGGATGGGACCTTCTCTCCCTGCCAACGAAATGAGTTATTGCTATTGTGTAGTCAGTTCCTATCCTGAGGTTGTGATTGCAGCCTTTCTGTGGAGGCACATAGGCAGTTTCAGAGGTGTGAATTGATGCCATCAAGAAGCTGTGACAGCTGTGGAAACCGGTTTCTTCATTCTTTTTTCTTGGTAATCCCTTCTGTGGTTACTGGAGATGTATTTGGCAGTGGGTTGGAGCCTCCTGCTGATGTTAGCAGACATCAGCTGGGCACTTGGGTTCCCCACTCATTTGCCTGTAGTTAGTCCTGGAGACTCCTGCCAGTGAAACTTGGAAAGCCTGGAATTTGTGTCACCCACTGATTTGATCAAGTCTGAAAACACATCCACAGATGCTGAGAATGCCCCGTAGGGTTATTAAAAACCCCAGTCACTTTCAAGCTTACTGTGGTAGAGAAATTGGCTACTTGCTAATAAACATAGGATTAAACATTTCTAAGGTTTAAATGTCCTTTAATTTAAGTGATATGGTTCACTGTTTGAGGTAATTTTTTGTGTGCCTTTTTTGTTCACTGTCTTTAGCTAAACTCTAGTGATTTAGCAAGCTTTTTTCAAACAGAATATGCCATAAAATGATCCTGTTAAGTAAGGCTAGTAACTGACAGTTTTTGAAACCTCACCTGAAAGTTTTCATATTTGATTAGAACAGTTTTAAGATGGGATTAAATTTGAGGCCTGGGCTTTAGAGAAAAAATTGAGCTCAATTCTGATTTCTAATTTTAAAAAATTCCTGAGTGCTGCCCCTCCCTCTCCGAACCAGCCCCAGTCTGTACACTTTTCAGTTCATGGGTCTTAAACAGCATCTCGGCCTTTTCTTTCTTGGGTTTGTTCTGTTTGTAATAAGTAACCCTTGTTATCAAATTAATAGAATACATTGGCTTCGCCTGTGTGATAGCGTTCAGCTGTAAGGAATGTGGCACATTTTGGTTTGAACTTGCCTATCTTGGAGCTGCTGGTGGCAGAAGGAGCGTGGAGTTCAGGCGTCATGTCTTCTATCCAACACCCTTTCACCCGAGGTTGCCTGTGGTAGTTTTGTGGGTGGAGGACCTCCGATGTCGGGTCATTATCCATGAGCACTGACAGGATGGAGTCCAGCACATTTTACTTGTCCTGCAGAGCGTGCAGTTAGGAGGAACGGGGTTGTAAGTCACATAGGACCCAGCCCATCCTGGCTTCAACTGTGAATGGGATTGGCTGACTCAGATAAATGAAAGGTCCAGAGAGGCAGGGCCCACTTCAGATGTGGTTTGATCTGGATTCCAGCCATTTTTCTTTTCAACACTTTATTTTTTTAGAGCAGTTTTAGGTTACCAGCAAAATTGAGAGGAAGATACAGAGGTTTCCCGTTATACACCCGGGCCCCACACATGCCCAGCCTCTCCCATAGTAATGCAGCATCCCTCATCAGAGCAGTATATTTGCAACTAATGAATTTATCCACAGTCCATAGTTGGCATTGGGGTTCAGTCTTGGAGGTGTACATTCCGTGGGTTTGGACAAATGTTTAATGACATGTATCCACCATTAAGGTATCATACAGAGTATGATACCCTGCCCTAAACATCCTGTGCTCCATCTATTAATTCTTTCCTCCACTTGAGCCCCTGGCAACCACTGATCTTTTTCTTGTCTCCATAGTTTTGCCTCTTTCAGAGCATCCTGTGGTTGGAATCATACAGTATGCAGCCTTTTCAGACAGTATGCAGCCTTTTCAGATTGGCATCTTTCACTCAGTAAGGTGCGTTTTAGTTTCCTCTGTGTCTTTTCATGACTCAATAGCTCATTTCTTTTCCTTTTTTTTTTTTTTTTTTTTTTTAGCTGAGCCATCCTGCCACCTGTTGGCAGCTCAGCAGCTGCTCAGCTCGGGCCGGGACTCAAACCGCTGTTGCTCAGAGCTCAAACTCTTGAGCGAGCTCTTAACCAACTGAGCCACTCGGCCGGCCGTAATAGCTCATTTCTTTTTAGTGCCTAATAATATTCCATTGTCTGGATGGACCACAGGTTTACTTATCCATCACCTACTGAAGGATGTCTTTGCTGCTTCCAAGTTTTGGCAATTATGAATAAAGCTGCTATAAATATCCATGTGCAGGTTTCTGTGTGGATATAAGTTTTCGTCTCCTCTTGGTAAATACCAAGGAACGTGGTTGTTGCATCGTATGGTTGAGAACACATTTAGTTTTGTAAGAAACTGCCCCATTTCTTAATGCTTTTTGGCCGCCACCTTCCTGTGGCCAGCTCTGCACTCAAGTTAGCGCCCTCGTGTCAGAGGTGGCTCCCCATCTACCTTGGCTCCAGGCTCCCTCATTTTGTAAACAGACGCTCCCCTCAGCATTGAAGGAGGGTCCTGCAGTTTTCTCTGAGTGACTGGGGACGCTGGGTGCTGCCGTGTCCTGCCCCTCACAGCATAATCACTGTTCAAGGGCCTGAGACTGTGCTCCTGGCTTACACAAAGTAGGTCACCCTGGAAGGAAAGTGGGGTGCCCCACCCAGATAGCATTGCTGCTCCCCAGTGGGGGATGATGGTCTTCCAAAGAAGGTGGGGGTTAACGGAAAAGGGAAAAGCATGCTGGGTGCTGACTAGGCAGCACGTGAGCACTTGCTACAAAGAGGAGGAAGCACGTGAATCCCGTGGACAGGGGATGCATTTCATGGGGGCGGCAGGTGCTTCTCTAAGTGTTGATTCTGCATGGAGGGCATGTCAGGAGAGCCATATCTGAGGGCCCCCTGAACTTGGAGCTCCCGGTTCCGTGAGTTCTATACCATGGGGCCGCTGGCTGATGGTGCTGGGCATGCGCTCCTGGGTCCCTGATAGGAGGCCTAGTGTGGGTCCTCATTTGGCTTTATGTGTGCTGTTTTTCATACAGCCGACTTCAGAACAGGTAAATGAGTCTTTGACTTAGGTCTCTGTCAAAGCTGAGAAAACAGTGATGTCCTTGACCTTTTTCTGCATGTATCCTACTCCCCTGGGGTCACTTTGAGCCCTTGGGCCAAGGGATGACAAGTTCCCTTACTGCTCTCCGTTCTCTGTGTGGGAGACTTTCCAGTTGTTACTGCACATTATCAGTGGAACTTTGAACATACGGTAACTGTGGTTGGTTCTCACCTATCCTTTTAATGGGTGTGAATTGGCGAAGGGTCCTCTGATGATGCAGGTGTTTTGGCTATTTACTTACTTAATGATTTGGCTTGAGGCCCCGGGGGCTGTAAGACATTGGTTGGCAGGTTCAGGTTTTACTGTCAAAAGGTTGGCCTGGGAGCCCTTTGAGGCTGGGCTCTGTCAGGCTGGATGCCAGTCCATCTTCCTCAGCTCTTCAGCCACCCGCGTTTTGTGATCGCCGCTGGTTTTGATGTCTCACCTAAGTGAAGGCTTTCCATTTCTGTTTATTGTCCTTACCTCCCTCATTGGCTGAGAAATTCCCCAAAGACAGGGTCTCAAAGGCTATGTTCTCGTATCTTCCTGGTGGGCCAGCCCAGTGAGGCGCTGTGGCCCAGGCCTTGTTATCATGACTGTGGCCAGAGACTGGACCATGGAAGCTGTTCACAGCAGGAGCGACTCGGCGACTTAGGGATCCTTTAAAGGGTGAGTGAGCAGCCCTTGCTTTCCAGGGTCCCTTCAGAGTTTGAGGAACTCTGTGACCTGTTTCTTGGTTTATTGACAGTATTTCTGGTAATGGCTTAAAAAGTCAAGAGAAGAAATGTAAAAAGAATGTGTTCAATTCATATGGAGGGCAGAAAAGTAAGATTGATTTGGGGTTTCTGGTTGGAGTTGAGTGGAGGGGGTGGGTTCGGGCGGTGTGGCTCTGGTGAAGGACGTCGGCTGCAGGAGGGCTCCATGTCGGCAGGGTGGATGGAGCGTGCCCAGGGTGGAGCATGCCCAGGCTGTGCTGAGGTGGGTGGCTATGGGTGTCCCCGGACACACTTGTCTTCTTAACAGTGAGCCTATTTGATTTGCCCTCTGGCACCTTCTCTTCACTGTCGATTTGTAGGCCATTTGTGATGGAAGGTAGCTCACTTTTAAAGCCTGGCTCTCCCTATAGCCAACCCCCACTTTTTCTACTGCTGTGCTTGTAGTTACTCTAAATGGGGGGCACAAAGCTTAGGGAGAGAGCATGGCCCCACTGCTGTTCCCTTGTCATCTCCCAGATGGGTGACTTGTCCAACTAGATGAATTCTTTCTTTTAACTGAACAGATGTTCCCAAAGTAGGTGACTGGAGACATTTCCAGACAAGGCTTAGTATGTCACTGGGATTCTCAAGACCAGACTTAGGAATCTCCTCACTCACTTTGTTGGGTGGGTGGGGAGAATATTAAGCTTGGTGGTTTAACTTGATGACCCTCACTTGATGATTTTTCCACTAGGTGGTGCCTTGTGGAGTAAGCCTTTGGGTTGTGTGACTTTGGGGAAGTAGCTACA